CTCCCTCATCTTTTGAATGAATGAATGAAGGTGTGAGCAAGGAAGGATAGTCTTGGAGATATTCTTTTGAGGCCCTGGAGGGGCCTGTTGAACTTTCTCTGCTCTGTTGCCAAGTTCAGTTCACAAGAAACCAGAATTCTCTTGGGGCTTTGTTCTGTGGCTTGTGCTGTGTTTTCCCTGGATGTTATGATCAGCCCTTCCTGTTAGCCGTGTTTTATAAGTTATAACTGCTCATAGCTGTTCCTTGATATTCATGTATTTGTTATGCATTTATTAGGAATATAATGATAAAACAGGTACATCCTGTACTGTCATTAAACTCAGTGTCTAATGCAGATCTCTCAATCTTTAAAAAATCGTGTTCCCTTTTGTTAAATATTAATATTTAATGCTCCTTACAACCTTTTTCTTTTTTTGAAGGTTCTGGTGTTTGAACTCAGGGCCTCAAGCTTGCTAGGCAGGCACCTCTAACTCTTAAGCTACTCAGCCAGCCCTTTTTTGTGCTGGGTGTTTTTGAGATAGGGTCTAACCCTCAGTCCTCTGGATCTTTGCCTCCTGAATAGCTAGGATTACAGGCTGTTTTTTGTTTGTTTGTTTTTTTTTGCAGTAGTTGGGATAAAACCCAAGGTCTTGTACATTCACTGCATATTTCTAACTCTACTAATATAGGAAGTTTGTGGGGTCTAAAATGTATATTCAAAATATTATCTCATTTTTATTTTACTTCTTCCTCAAGCCCCCACCCCCCCAAAAAAAAAAAAAAGATTCGCTATACCCTTCCCTCCCTGCTCTTTAGGAATACTGATGTATTGAAAAAGATGCTGCCTTTCCAAATTTATACTTGCTGGGAGCAATTCCTTCCATACCCAAGCAGTCACAGTAATCCCTTTAAAAAGCCTATTCCTCTTGTTCCTCCTTCAAGGCCTGTTTCACTGAGAAACCAGTTCGAACTCAGCTCCCCCTTACCTTAAGGTTTTGATCAACCTAGCACTCCCTTCCTACCAGCCTCCTCTGTCTGTCCAGTCCCCTGGTTGGCCTTGGTGTCCTCGTCTAGACTGCTTTGACCTGCACTTCCCTGTCTGGTCAGTTCAGTATCATTCCTTCAAGGTCATTTCCCCACAGCCCTGCACACTTGCCATAGCAGTGTTCTGTAATCGTCATCATTTTTAACAATCTCTTGTGTGTCGCTCTTCCCTTTCCATACCGTGAATGCACAGAGAAAGGGCCACACAAAAATATTGGCAGTGGTTAGTTATTTCTGGGTGATGGACTTGTGGGTAATTTGTTTCTGTTGGGTTTATATGGATTTTCTAAATCTTCTCTTGTGAATCAGTATTACCTTTGTGAATAAGTAAAAAAAGTTTCATAAAATTCACATTTGTGAGAAAGTCAGGAAGACAGAAGACAAGAGGAAAAAGAAAAGTATTGCTATTTTCATTTTAATGAGTTTCCTTCTAACAGTTTTTATTTGGTTTTAATAACCTAAATGAAATGAAACTTTAGTTATCAAACCTTTTTATTTTTTTGAGTGGTTGGGATTTCACTGCAGGGCTTCATGTTGCTAGGCAGGCACTCTACCCCTTGGGCCATTCTACCAACCCTGGTTCGTGTTGATTATTTTTGAGATAGGGTCTTGAGAACTGTTTGCCCAGACTGATTCTCCTGATCTCTGCCTCCCAGGAGGCTAGGATTACAGGTGTGAACCACTGGTGCTTGGCTGGTATCAAACTTTTATAAGCTGATATATTTTCTTCAGTATAGAGGAGGCCTACACCTTGAACCATTTCACCAGCCCTCACCCCCTTATTTGTGATTTTTTTTTTTTTTCAGATAGGGTCTCCAGAACTATTTGCCTGGGCTGGCATTGAACTGAGATCCTCCTGAATCTAGCATCAGAGACTCTTAGGGTATGAAAGCTAAGAATGTGCTAAATAGCTAAGTTACTTTTTTCCCTGAGAAATGTCCTGATTAATATATTTGTATATTTCATAGTTCAAAGTTTTGTCTTGAGTGATTGCTTATTTGCGTTATTAGTAGTATTTTTGCTGGGTTGTTTGTTCTGTTTAGTACTGGGTACGTTTCTGCAATAGAGTAATATCTACTGTGTGCCACACAGTGTGTTAAATGTGGAACTTACAGTAGTGAACACAGTGGACACACGATTTCCTACAGTTTCGTAGAGGATTATTTGAACAGTGAATGTTTAGTTACATTGTTGAACTATATGTTCAGATGCACAGTGGCTTCAGCTACCGATTATGAACTGCCACTGCTAGTCTTTAAAATTTATTCCAGATTCTTCTGGACCTGCGTTTATTATACATTACTGTGGGTATTTAAGGAGCAGCATAATGTGTTGTCCAAGCACTTTTGTTACTGACTTCCTTTTGTTTCTTGATACATCTCTATGTACTTCCAGGTATTAATTTTTTCCTTTATTCATTTATTTGTATGCGTATACATTGTTTGGGCCACTCTCCCCTCCACTCTCTCCCTCTTTCCCCCACCAGGTATTAATTTGACATTTCGTTTTTTTTGGTAAGACTGAGGTTTGAACTCAGGGCTTCATGCTTGCAAAGCAGGTGATCCACCTCTTGAGCCACACCTTCAGTCCTTTTTGCTCTGATTATTTTGGAGATGGGGTCTCCAGAACTATCTGTGGGGGCTTGCCTCCTGATCTCAGCCTCCTAAGTAGTGAATTACAGGAGTGAGCCACCAGTGCCTGGCAATTTGATATTTCTTTTTGTTAATTGTAGCAAACAGAACTCTGATCTTGGACTGGGTATATATGTATATAGTTCAAAGCCTTGGTTTTATCCCTACCATGGGAAGAAACCAATAACAACACAAAAAAACAACCTCTGACCTTTCCTTTTAGCTCTGCTTCTTTGGGATTTCTCATGAATCTCAGGTCATTTTACTGTTCACTCTGGCAGCCTGCAAGTTATCCCAAACACTTCATGGTTCCCCACTCCTGACTGTCCAAACCATCACTAAACATTGTCAGTTCTGCTTCAGAAAAGCATCTGGGATTAGTGCCATTGTCTCTACTTATACTGCACTCTCCATTATCCACTCTAGCCTCCCATTTTTTTTCTCCACCTGATGATCTTTCAAAATGCTAACTGGATCATTGTCATTGTCCTCAGAGCATTTAAAGTTCCATCCCCCACCCCACAAGCCTGTCTAGATGGTTTTATGTTTCCTCTCTACCCACTGGCTTTTCATTTCCTCAGACTGTATAGGTGCTTCCAGAATGTGCTGCTTCCTGCCAGGCCAACTTCATTTTCCATACTTCTTCCCTGCATAATTCTTCTAGTCTAAAGCAGCTTCCCTAAGCTATTCTGTTTTAGCTTCCTATGCTTTTCCATAATGCTTAGCACAGTCTATAGTCATATATTTATGTGATTATGATTTTTTTTGTAAACTGAGAATTGTACAGGGGTAGGGACCAAGTATTATTGCCTTACTTCACACCAGCATAATGTTGCATCTCCAGATATAAAGTATAGGTGTTTAATAAACAATTGTTGAGCAAATTAATGACTTTTACATTAATGAAAAAATTATACTATAAAACCAAGGCACACAGTAGGAAATATATTTTTACCCATCATGACACAGCAGAAGTAGCTAGAATTACAGGAGCAAGTCACCAGTGCGTGGCCCAGTGCTCAGTCTTCCTGGGCAAAAATATGGTACACCTTTCCATTTAGGACTTCTTTTAAGTCCTTATGACAGACTTAAAAATTTCTTTTATTAGGATATGTTCATTGTACAGGGGGGCTTCATAACAACAATTTCAAATAGGATTTTGTTGTACTTTGGCTGGATCACCCCCATTGTCTCTCCCTCTCATCCCCTCCCCATCCCACTTAAAGCAATTGCAAGAGGTTTCTTTTTTATTTCATATAGGTATATGAAGTCCATCAACTGTATATACTAACCTTAGTCTCCTTCATTCACCCTCTCCTTCCACAAAGTACCTCCTCCCCAGTACCTATTTTATAGTCCTATCTAAGTCAATGTTCAAAGGGGTTTCTCAGTGTATCCCCACTGTGAGTATACTTTACTTTGGTATGTCCAACCCCTTGCATTGCTGTTCCTTATCCTTTTACCAACCATCCCCCATTTTTCAACAGCTTCCAATGTATATCTTTATGTCCTCTACCTTCACGGATGTTATGTTTTACAGTATCGTCGATGCTCTGTGTTCTCTTTTCCTTTCCCTCCTTCCCCAAGTTTCATTGAGTAGTTCCACTATTACAAACATGTTCTACATATGAGTTTGTATATGATCATGCTTGTTTTTGTATGTATGTTTATCTTTTGGATCTTCCACTTATGAGAGAAAACATGTCCTTTGTCTTTCTAAACCTGGCTTACTTCACTTTTTTTTTTTTGTTTTAGTATTCATATGTGCATACAAGGCTTGGGTCATTTCTCTCCCCTGCCCCCACCCCCTCCCTTACCACCCACTCCGCCCCCTCCTGCTCCCCCCCACCCCCTCAATACTTGGCAGAAACTATTTTGCCCTTATCTCTAATTTTGTTGAAGAAAAGAGTATAAGCAATAATAGGAAGGAACAAGTGTTTTTGCTGGTTGAGATAAGGATAGCTATACAGGGAGTTGACTCACATTAATTTCCTGTGCATGTGTGTTACCTTCTACGTTAATTCTTTTTGATCTAACCTTTTCTCTAGTTCCTGGTCCCCTTCTCCTATTGGCCTCAGTTGCTTTTAAGGTATCTGCTTTAGTTTCTCTGCATTAAGGATAACAAATGTTAGCTAATTTTTTAGGTGTCTTACCTATCCTCACCCTCCCTTGTGTGCTGTCACTTTTATCATGTGCTCAAAGTCCAATCCCCTTGTTGTGTTTCTGGCTTACTTCACTTAACATGATGTCCTCCAGTTGCATCCATTTAACTTCAAACCACATGGTTGAATAAAACTCTAGTGTGTTTGTGTGTGTATATATAAATGTATGTGTGTATATATATGTCTGTGTATCTATATCTATATATGTATATCACATTTTCTTGATTGTGGTATGTTTTTTTCAAGATAGAGTCTCTGGAACTGTTTGCCTGGGGCTGACTTCAAACCTTGATCCTCCTGATCTCTGTCTTCTGAGTAGCTAGGATTATGAACTTGAGCCACCCACACCTGTTGGGAGGAGGTATTTATAACTGTCTCAATGTCATTGCTTGTGATAGACCTGTTTAAGTTGTTAATGTCCTGTTAGTTCAATTTTGGTGGGTCATATGTGTCAAGAAATGTATCTGTTTCTTCTTGATTTTCCAGTTTGGTGGATTGTAGGTTTTCAAAATTTGCATATGATTATCTGAATTTCATTGACATCTGTCAATGAATCTGTTGTAATACCCCTTTTTCATCTCAAAATTATTAATTTGGATGTTCTCCTTTCTTTTGGTTAATTTGGCTAAAGTTTTGCTGGTCATGTTTATTTTTTCAAAGAACTAACTTTTTGTTTCATTGTTTTGATCTCCAATTCAGTAATTTCTGCCCTGATTTTTGTAATTTCTTTGCATCTACTACTTTTGAGGTTGACTAGTTCATGTTTTTCTGAGTTTCAGGTGTATCATTAGATTGTTTATTTGAGATCTCTCTAATTTTCTGATGTGTGCATTCATGGTTGTAAACTTCCTTTTTTAAGAATCTTCTTAAGATTCTTCCTCCTTCTTAAGAACCTATGGGACTGTATCTCACAGGTTCTGGTGTATTGTGTTCTGATTTTCATTTGATTCTAGGAATTTACTGATTTCTTCAGTGGACCGACTGATCACTTGAAAGAGTGTTGTTCAAACTCCATGAGTTTGAATGATTTTGTGGTTTTCCTTGCCATTGATTTCTAATTTTATTCCATTATGGTCTGTTAGGATACAGGGAATTTTTCAATTGTTTTTTTTTTGCATTTGTTGAGATTTGCTTTATGACTTGGGATGTGATCTAATTTGGAGAATGTTCCATGAGCTGCTGAGAAAAATATGTAATTTCCTGAGGTACTATGAAATACTCTATAGATATCTGAAGTCTATTTCATCCATTGTTCAGTTCTAGGATATCTTTGTTATTTTATTCATTTTTTTTTGTGGAAATGGGTTTTGAACTCAGGACATACACCTTGAGCCACTCTACCATCCCTTTTTTGTGATGGTTTTTCAGGATAAGGTCCTTTGAACTGTTTACCTGGGTTGGCTTTGAACCTTGATCCTCCTGATCTCTGCCCAGGATTACAGCCATGAGCTACCTGCGCCTGGCTCTTTGTTAATTTTTTGTCTGGATGTGCTGTATGTTGATTAGAGTGGAGTGTTCAGAACTCCTATTATTATTGTATTTGGACCTAACTTTTTCTTTACGCTCAGCTTAATGAACTTGGGGGCACTGATTTATGGTGCATATTTATTTAGAATTGATATCTTTTTGCTGAATTGTTCCGTTTATTAGTATGTAGTGACTTTTATATCTTTTCCAACTGTATTTTGCTGAAAATCTGTTTTGTGAGAATAGGTACTCCTGATTGCTTTCAATTTCTGTGTGCCTGGTATATCTTTTTCCAACCTTTCACTTTTAGTTTGTGTTGTGTCTTTGGTTGTGAATGTTTCGTGTGACAACAGATTGTTGCATCGATCTTGCTTGCTTTTTTTTTTTTTTTTTTGGTAATACTGGGATTTGAACTCAGGGGTTCTCACTTTTAGTCAGGTGCTCTGCCACTTGTGCCACATCTTGTTTATCTATTTATTTTTGCAGTACTGGGTTTTGGACACAGTGCCTACACCTTGAGCCACTCTACCAGCCCTTTTTCGTGATGGGTTTTTTGGGATAGGGTCTTGTGAACTATTTGCCTTGTCTGGCTTCAAACCACAATCCTCCCAATCTGTGCCTCCTGAGCAGCTGAGATTACAGGTGTGAGACACTGGCACCTAACAGATCTTGCTTTTTGATCCAGTCAGTTGCTGATGCTTTTTAACCTGTATTTTTTTTCAGGTGGGACTGGGTTTGAATTCAGGCTCAGGACCTTGTGCTTGATAGGCAGGCACTCTTAGCACTTGAGCCACTCTGCCAGTCCTTTTTTGTTATGGGCTTTTTCTACATAGGGTCTTTCATACTGTTGGCTGGCTTTGAACCGTGATCCTTCTGATGTCTGTCTGGCTCCTGAGTAGCTAGGATACAGGCATGAGCCACTGGTGTCTGGCTTTTTGTCTTTTTTTTTTTTTCCCCCTCTACTGGGGTTTGAACTCAGGCCTCACATTTGCTAGACAATTGCTACACTTCACCCTCAGGGCCTTCAGTGGAGGCATTTCCATCAGTGTTATCCTAGGTCCTACTGACCATCTTGCCCTCCACTTCCAGGTACAGACCATCTGTAGTCTCCTGGATCTTGTTAATATTGGAGAACAGTTCATAGTGGTTGATGAGATCCTGCTAGATAATCATGATGGCAGGAGCGGGGGGTGGGGGCGGTGGGGGGGAGAGCTAGTGGAAAAGCACACTCTTCATAACTTTAAAAGCATTTGGTTACACAAAAGTTTTAATTACTTATTTTGGTGGGACTTGAGTTTGAACTCAGGGCATCGTGCTTGCAAAGCAGGTGCTCTATCACTTGAGCCATACTGCCAGTCCATTTTGCTTTGGTTGTTTTGGAGATTGGGAGGGAGGGAGTCCCATTTCATGAATTATTTGCCAATCTTAGCTTCTTCAGTGCCTGACTTATTTTTTGAGGTTCTTTTTTTTTTGGCGGCACTGGGATTTGAAGTCAGGGCTTTTGCTTGCTAGGCAGGCAAGTGGCTTACTGCTTGAGCCAATCCTCCAGCCCCTCTTTTAGTTTTTTTGAGACAGGCTCTTGCTGTGTAGCCCAGGCTGACCTGGAACTATGTATAGCTGAGGGTGGCCTTGAAATCACAATTCTCCGGCCTCATCTTCCCATATGCTAGATTACAGGTGTGCACCACCACGCCTGGCTAGAAGTTTTATTGATATTAGGTTTAAAGATTACTTTTGTCTTCAAATATAAAATAATAGATTTAGAGCTGGGCATGGTGCTTCACTTCTGTAATCCCAGCATTTGATAGACTGAAGTAGTAGGATTATGAGTTTGAGCACAGCGTGAGCTGCAGAGCTATGTCACTGGAGAAGGGTTGAAAAGGTTTTTAATAGAAAAAAACCCTCTAGTACCTGGTACCCAGTTTCCTTGGTCTTGAATGTGTCAGAGAAAATAATTTTAAGATAACTCCCGAGGTAGCAAGCTGCCAAGATTTTGTTAGGCAAGTGAGGTAAAGCAGTGGAAAGTAAGGAAAGAGGGATGCACATTGCAAGTGCTTGGAATACAGGTTTTAGAGTCATAATGAGTGTTCTTCCACTGGGACAATTTATATTGGCTAAAGTAGGTTTGGGAGTTTAGCTTAAACTTTCATCCAGATAAGTGGTTTCTTTGTGTTAGGAATCTGGTAACTTTCAGTCCTTCTGTTGCAGTGTTTTGATATTTTCATCCATGCATGTAGATATTAGGTCTGGGGTAATCTACAAATGAAATGATCTTGTGACATGAATGGTTGAGGCTTGAACTCAGGGCCTATACTTTGAGCTATTCCACCAGCCCTTTTTTGTGGTGGGTTTTTTGAGATAGTCTCATGGTCTCACAAACTGTTTGCCTGGACTTTGAACCACGATGCTCCTGATCTCTGCCTCCTAAGTAGCTAGGAGTGTGTAGCTGGCGTGAGCCACCTGTGCTGGGCTGTTTCTTGTAACTTTTATGGGCATTCTTTTGATCAAAAAAGATTGCTATACCAGGCATTCTTACCTCCCAGGTGCATATTGCTCATTTGGGGCAAATTCAGAGGAATTGTGGAGGAATTGTTTTCTACTATGTATTGTAACTACTGGGGAGGCATGTGATCAAAGGAATGAATGCATTCTTGTGTTTTCTTAATATTTAGTTAATGATTAATTTTGCCCCCTATCAGTTTTGCAGTCTTAGCTCCTGATTCTGCATTGCTTTGATTCCCATGCCACCTGTTCGTATTCTAGCCCCCATTTCAAATTAACCAAAAATCAATCCATAAACAACCTAAAAGAAAACAAAAACAAAAACTTAAAATGAGACATGTTCTATTTGAAGCAAAGTGACTATATTCTTAAGAATGACAATGCATTAATTAACAAAGGCTGTGGAGTTATTCTAGATCAAAGAATATTAAAGAGACATGACACTTACAAATAATGCCTAATACTATACCAGAGGGAAAATACATATAAAACATTTTATTAGGCCACTTGAAAAAATTGGACCACAGGAATTAGATGTAAGTATTATGTCTGTGTTAAGTTTTCTGGAGTCGAAAACTGTACTGTGCTTTTGTGAGAGAATATCTTTATTCTTAAAACTAAAGGTTTTAGGGGTAAAATGTGATATTTACAACTTTCTGAAATGGTTCATAAAGAAAATTATTTCTCTATATGGAGGAGGGAGAGATTTTATACATACATACATATCTATATATGTGGAGGAGAGAAACGGAGGGAGGAAGGGCGGCCAAGTGTGCACTCAAGTTGAGCGTGCAAATAGGGTAAAATGTTAATAGATGAATCTGGGTAAAGCATATAGTTGCTTTTAAAAATCTATTCCTGCAGTTTTTCTAAGAAAAAGTTAAATATTATTTACAATTGTAACAAATATAGAATAAACACAAAGAGCTTCATGATACCATATATTTATTTTCTTTAATTCAAGTTAAAATTTTTTTTGGTGTTTTTTTTTTTTTTGGGTAACATTGGGGTTCAGGACCTCTGCCAATCATTTTTTTGTGACGAGTTTTTTCGAGATATGGGCTCACGAACTATTTATCTGGGGCTGGCTTTATGTTTGCCCTTGGCTAGCTTCTGAGATCTCTGCCTCCTGAGTGGCTAGGATTTACAGGTGTGAATCACCAGTGCTTGATTTTGAGGGTCTTGCTGTGTAGCCCAGGGTGGGTTTCAACTTACCCCCTTCTGTCTCCTGAGTCCTGGGATTATAGGCACGTGCCACCATTTCTGCTAAACATTATTGATTTGACTATTCCCTGAAGCAGGGTTAGAGGGCTTAATAGCAATGTTTGGTAACATATTTTGACCTTTCATCCTCATCATTATTATTTTTGGTGATACTGAGGTTTGAACTCA